AACCATCTACACCAACTTTAGAAACACTAAATCCCTCACTTTTAGGGTGTCATACGACAACTTCCCATCATGGGCTCCTTAGTAAATTGGTGGTCACCCATAGAGAAGGATGGACGAGTACGTGGACGGTTCTTCAATTTGAACACAGGTGAACTGATCATCGCTCTTTTGCCTCTTTTTCTATTCCTATGAAATGTTGATCCAGGCGAAATCCAAACAACTGATGTTTTATATAAGAACAAGCGAAATTCCCCGGCTACGAGTCACAAAGTGAAGGCCCAGGTGAGAGCAAATTATGCTTAGACTCAGTACGTATGATGCTGGTTCAGACTACTACTGAGCCGAAAGAAGAGGAGAAGAAAGAAGCTACAGTGCCCACTGAAACATCCTCTACTGCAGAAAAACCAACAGTTGAACAGCCGACATCCATAGAGGAGAAGTAGTCACCTACAGTGCCTTTCCTGATTGACAACATCCCACAATTACGGTCCTGTCGCAAATTTAGATTTAGCGGGTACGGGAAATAACATTCGCTGCGTGTTGGAAATGCATGAGATGTCCTTAATTCTATATTGTTGTTATCTTTAAAGATATCAATCTATTCGATTTGTGTGACCTTTGGAAGAGAAAAATCCATAATGTCTTACATTCAGTTTCAACTGAGAAACGCTTTCAAATTCATGTCCAAGGGGTTTCAACGTATTGTTGTGCAACATTAAACTGTGATAACTTTGGGTTATTTATTGGAACAACCGGTAAGCTGTGTTTTATGCAGTGGCGAGAGGTCGTGACATTCGTACTTCACGGAAAACATTCTGCATCAGTATTCCAGTAACATTTTTTGCTTCTCGTTATTGTATAGTTCTTGAATCGTTTAAATCTTTACTGTTCTTTACACATTTACATCCTATCTAATAACGATAATGGGCCTTGCTTGGTTTTGCTAATGTCTATGTCCCATAATTTGCTGAAAATGGGTCCATACTCCCCGCAGATGTGAAGTGACTAATTGTTAGAAATTTTAATTAACCCTTTTATTTCATAACATTGTTAAACTAGACATTTATTTAGTAATGGAATCGAATTTTGTTCAGTCCTTCATTGCTTTCGGGGTGAAAGTATCTTAATAAAGAATTTTTACAAAACTGTCCATATCACTACAAACAAAACTTTTTTTACCCTTATGTCAACAAGCATTACAAGGATTATCGTTTTGGAGAGTATCATTGCACTGATTTCCAGTTTTCAATCTCCTATACGGCTCTAGATCTCAGCAACCTCTCAAACAGCCTATCTATTAGTTTATTTCAATTTCGTGGTTTTCGACAGTATTGTTGTAGTTTATTTTATATCGGGAACCTTAGATTATCACTTTCAAACTTATGATGAAAATGGAACTGCAGATTTGGTAAGATTATGTTCAGTTTCATGACCTGGGTGTTTCGCTCTTTTATTTGTACTTTCTTCTAATGAACTAAAGTCTAATAGATGCTAAAAAGAACAAAAAAAAGCAGATGTTACAGTATACCATCCTTCTATAAGCTATGATCAAGGGTGTCAATTTACCTCAAAAAGGAGAGACCATAAAAAGGACTATCACAGCTATAACCATCCGCTTTCAGGTAAAGAGTGATAATTGCAAAAAAGTGTGGCTGCAAGTTAACTTCTTTACAAGTCATATCTGGTGGAGACAAGAAGTGCTTCGAAACTTTCTTTGTTTTTTGTTCAAAATTTACCTTTTAATCCTACCTTTCGACTTGATTACTTTTTAATGTTCCGTTCGTAATTAGACAACTCTTATGAAGGTGCCCTTAAAGCAAAATTCTACTTTGTATGAGCTTCGTTTGCCCTCTTCATACGGATTTGTATTGATTCGCAAGATTAGTGGAACATAATGATAGGACATTTATTTGATTTTCCCAAAAATTGTAGAACAT